GTTTATAAATAGGGAACACTATTGGGCATTCTTGTAAGAAATTGTGGTCAGTGTAAGAGGGTGAGAGCACCACTGACTTTGGACAGCAATGACAACACCTTGTTTTTTCCCACACTCTGAAACCAGGCACTAACAAAGCAGCATGAAGAAAACTAATTTCTTTTGCCTTTTATGTTTCACAAAGGATCTTCCATAAAGGGTGTTAAGTGATACATGCTACCAACTTTTTGGAATTTCTTTTTGTTCATAATTACAAAGGATGGTAGAAACGCATCTTAGATAACAAAGACCAAGTTGGATGGAAGTGGGAAAATTATTTAAAAACATTTTCTGAGGTTTACAGCAGTTTCTGTACAATTTAAACCCCTATTCTTAAGAGTGAGCAGCTTTGAAATGTAGGTCTGAAACCTGTGAATTGCTCTGTTTATTTCAAGTGCATGATTAACTCTAGAGAGCAATTATGCCAATTCAACTTTGCTAGGTTTTATCTGGTTGCATGCTGATTTTCAGTATTGCACAGTTGCTATTTTCAATCCTACAGAGAAAGCAAGTGTAAACACTGCAATAAAGAAATTCATACCTACATATTGTGAGATCCCACTGTTGTGTCCGAACATCTCCATCACTGTTCAGAATGTTACTTTTCTTGTGAGGGAGGGCACTGGGCTGTTATTCACTGTGTTAATTGGTGCATAATACAAAAATACAATTCTGCAGATACCTTTATTGCATTATACCAACAGTTCAGTTAGTATAATTGCACACAAAGAACAACCAAATGTAATTTTCTTTTACTTAATACTTGCTCCACTGTCCCTTTCAGCTCCTTCATCTGATTAACTAATGTGACTGAGAGTTCTTCCGAGAAACAGCTGTGGAAGTACTCAAAACAGGACTCTCCCTGATGGAAAACACAAAATCTGTGCAACCACTAAATGCTGTGGGGAAGAGACTGGGGGAAAGCAGGAACCCAGTCTGGGTGAGAAAATGATTTGATGGCAGTTTCCATGCAAGAAACCAGGGCTGCACAATGGCTGGTGGATATGCAGAGCAGAAGGGATAAAACAATGCAAGATTTGAGGGGAAAAAGGGTTAAAGTTTTTGCACATTTCACAACGCACCATTTTTGTACTGTGTGCCCTGACACAAATAAGTTGTCAGTGGGACAGAAGAGAAGCTGAAACATCAAAAGAGAGGCTATCCTCATGGTATTTAAAGCCTATTCAGAAGCACCAGAAATCTTTAATTAAAGCTTGATTGCTCTGTGTCTTGTTATCTCCTTTTGCCTACTGAGAATCCTATTTTGTCTCCTTCAGCTTCTGTGATAGTAATTTGTTTACCTCGAGTTCCTCATTATTGCTCACTGTATCTTTATATGCCCGAATTTCCCATATTCTAGCCTTGTGTATAAAAGGAAATTGCATTGGTTTGATATAAATTGACTTTTTAATTGGTAGTTGAATGATAGTATGGCTTGAGAAGCTTTCAGTTTTACTCAAACTAATACCTAACCAATTTAAAACCAAAGCCAAAGTAAGTCTGGGTTTACAACAGAATAAAGAGCACTCAGCTTTTTGTACACATTTTAACCATCTCAATGAAAAATCCTGATTCCATTAAGGCTGTTTCAATGTTCTGGCATATGCAGACCTTGTTACAATTGTTTTTCCAGGCTTCTTCTAGAATCAAGTTTCACCTGCAACCTTTCAGCAAGTAGCTGGTATTCCAGCAAATAACACATCATTAGTTAATTGAAAAGGAAAGCATTTGCAGTGCCCTGTGAACATCTATCTAATGGCCACCTTGCACTGCAAGCAACTGTGTGATTTGAAAACCACAGGAATTTTTCTGTGCTGGTCATCACGAAATTTGAGAGAGTAACAGCACCACATTAGTTGTAGACATTTCAGGTCTTATTCTACCCAGCATGTTCATTATCCCAGGTGTGACACTACAGTGGGTAACACATTTCTAGAAGCTTTAGGATATTTGATAGTGTGGCTGTATTGGGTGTTTTGAATCTCATGACTCAGATGTGCATGACCTGGAGGTGCTCTGACCATGACCAACAGCGGCAAGCCTGAAGAAGCAAGTTGGTAGGTACCTGGCCTGAGAACAGAGAGGACAGGGGGGCTGGAGGTGCCAACCACCACTTCTGCTGAAAATGGATCTCCAAGCACAAGCAAAAACAGCAGGTGTGTACAAGAGGTAGTGCTCAGGTACAAAGGAGCAAGTGGAGGGCCCATGCCCTTGAAAACAACTGAGCTTCCTTGGATTTAATGTTGTGTAAACACAGTGCTACCTGTCTTGCAGACTAGCTCCTGCTGTGAAGGCTGAGTTGGCTTGGGGACTTAGGGAGGGCATTTTATTATCCTGTTGGCTCATCAGCTTTAGGAACACAGCTCTTAGTTTTAGTAAGATTTCTTAAAAAGGAAATATTATAGTATGTGATCCATCACACAAGTCAAAGATCCTATTAACTGTAATTACTTTTAGCTGAGCTCATGTTGGTCAGTGCAGTCTTTGGGACTTCAGGGTGGTGCTGATGCTGTTGGTTCACTCACACAACAGTAAATATGTGCCCATCAAAGGAAAGGCCTTGACAGACTCAGCCTGAGGTTTCTTAAATGCATTACGGGATGCAGAAAGAAACAAGATTAAAGCCGGGTAAAACGCATAGCCCAGGGACCAAACAAGCATTTGCAGTGTTTCCTGACAGCAAGCTGGGGCTCAGCAGCACAAAGGAAAAAGGGGATTTGGTGCTGCAGAGACCCTCAGAAATGCAATGACTTTCACTGCTAGAAGCTGCCACTCAGCTTCTCTGTTTCTGCCCTGTCTACTCTGAGGGCACAAGGGGACAAAATTGCTGTAGGAGTAATTTCAAACCCCAAGGGCTAGAGACAATTTTAGACAGCATATGAACAAGACCAAGGATACAACCCAGAAAATAGGCAAGCTGTTTTAGATTGGAGTTGCCTTGAATTTTCACCCCAAGGTCATCACAAATTATTTTAATTGCTCGAAGTACCTCAGTGACCTTCTCTTCTACTCTCATGCAATCTGATTCCCTTTATTTCTACTATCCAAGCCTTTCTTTAAATTGAATTCCTCAGATAGGACAGGGAGCAGAAGAGCTAGATGGTGTCAGGTCTAGCAAGGAGTAGAAAATAACAAAATTCTCAAAAAAATTTGCAGTCAGGATTTCTAGCCCACGCATGCTTTACATTAACTTTGCATCTAAAATAGAATGTTTTTTTCCTGTTGCTAAAACAGTAGGTACTCTGGAAGGAAATGTACAGCTGCCTTGGGAAACTACATCACCACCTACAGAAAGTCAGGCAGAAATCCATAATCTACACCTGCCTACGGATCCTACCATGAGCTCGTTGACCCAAGGGCAATACTGAGAGCACTTAAAAGACAACTCTGCTTACAGGCAGGAAACAGAGATACAGATATTGAAGGGAGGACTTCAAAGGATCTTCAAAGAGAACATATAAAGGCACTTTTGTAAATTATACCTTTGTGACAGCCTAAGCTCACACACAACATCTGTAATAGAGCTAAACACAACCTTTATTGCTGAAGTGCAGCCTCACCCAGCCCAGCATCCTCTCACACGGGCTCATTGCCTCTGTCTCGCTCCCTCAAGGCTCCTGACAGTGCTTCTGCATCTTTCTTGCTGTATGATGCTCAGGACATAAAATATCAGTAAACTCCATGTGATGGCAACTCAGCTGACCCTGCAGGCTGTCCCTTCAGCCTCTGCTGCCAGAGCTCACCTCCCAGGAGAGCTCAGGCAGCAGCAGCAGCTGCCCTGCTGTGGCAGCACTGAGGGGGCTCATGGATCCAGCTTTTCAGGGAGACTGAAGGTTGTGTAGGGTTTTTTGGCCACACTGCCCAGACTGCTGTCAGCATCAGACCTAACACCATTAGTTCGTGCACCTCAACAGAACACTGCAGGCAGCAAAGTGAAATACAGCCTAGAAAAGAACAGATGCAAAAGAACTCTTCTTAGGCAGAAGAGTGGGAGAGAAGGAGGCAGCAGGAACAAATCCCTAGGCTTACTGACAGAGCAAAGGAGGCATATATCAACCCTGCTCTCTAACTTAAGAGGGGTGGTATTTCAAATTGGCAGGTAAGTAGCTGGCCCCAAGTGAGGAGAAACAGCTGCACATAGTGCTGAGGTTTGCAGCTGTAACAAGAGCTTGTCTCTCCTGCAGCTACCCCTCACTTCCATGGTCAGCCCTGCTGCCCCAGGTAGGCTGGAGGTTGTGGCTGCTTGAACCAGTTCAGGAAGAGAGGCTGGCAAAGAGGAGGGAAGGAAGCAGAATCAAACAGAAATGCACCTTTGAGGCCCAAACCAAATATTGTGAATATGTGGGAAAGCCTGGGAGAGGAAAGAGGGAAACATTTGGGAGACAGCAATGGGAGGGTGAAGGCAGGGAAGGGAACTCTTGCATCTATCTGGCCCACACCATTACAGTTAGACTGGAAAGAGGAGCTGAAGGGTAGGGGAGAATAAAGTAACATGAACATACAAGACTGACATTTCATAAGTCCAATGCTGTACTGTTTCAAATGGACAATGAATATTTACTGAAAAAGTGAGGCTCTGTTAGTTCAAACCAAGTCTGTGTTAACTAGAATTGGGTGTTCAGGTAACAAATGCTAAACTCAGTCAATTTGGACACTTCACTTTGATTTCTGCCAATGACACCAAACACACTTATCTTACAGTTTAAATCCACATTTTACTTCAAGCAGCCCCCTCTGGTTCTTCCACCAGCTTGCAGTCTGTTACAGTTAAATCCAGGTTACAGCTAGCAGCCAAAGGTAATTACTTTCTAATGCATGTTTTGTTTTATTTGTAAGGGACTTGGGAAAAGCTCTAAACAATGGCTTTGGGGAAAAAAATTGCATTCAGACACATCTAAATGATATCTGTGCTAGTTGGATGTCTCTCCTATCTGATGATGCTTCTCAGACTTGATATTTACCTGCTGGATCAGAAAAGGGGGCACTGCTGAGCTGGAGATTTCCCAGGAGCTTTTGTTCCCATCCAAACTTCTTCTGGCCACCTCTACTGATGAGTAAATTGCTTGAGTCTGGAGCAGTACCTCGAGGTGTCTTCTCTCCACTGACTAGAAAACAAGAAATCTCAGGTTGGTTTATGGCTGAGGGGGACTGAGTCAGTATGTAATCCAAAACTGAAGCTAAAATAAGGGCTGCAGACTTCTGTGCTGAGAGTAAGAGCCTGCAGTCACAGGATATAACATTATTAAAAGAAATTGGCAGATTTACTTCCCATTGTTGGCATGGAACTGAGACAAAAGGAAAATAAACAGGAATAAGGGGTAGGCAAAACATTAAGTGAATGAAGACACAAAGCAGAAATGCAGAATAAAATCTTTACCGGTAAACTATTATGAAATTTTTTAGCCAGTAAAAGTATGAGGAATTTTCTTTAATTCTATCCTAATTTTAAGGTCTCTTTGAATACTGGAACTTGAGGTATATTGTACTTATGCACAGAAATCAAGAGGTATTACTGCATAATACTCATTATGAGAGACTCATGCCCCAGGCAATGCAAATTAACGTAACACAGAGCAGATGAAACATTCTGACTGCAGAAGTGGTTTGGAGGTTTTCAGTCTGAGCAGGGCTACAGAGGTCACAGCTTCAAGTGCAGGAGAAGAAAGGACACACTTAAATTCTGGTGCTCAGCCCAAGGCAGAAGTTTAATTTGTTCAGAGCAGCAATTCTCCAGCCCTCATGTAAGTTGTTGGTCTGAGGTACAGAGTAACAGATCATTGAACACATTTACAAATTAAGCAATTCACTATGCATGAGATTATGAAAGATGAGTCAGACACAAACGTTTAATAAAAGTCTACATGTGGCATCAGAGGTATAGACTGGGCATGTTCTAGAGGCCAGTCAGTCACAAAGCCAGGATCAGAATCCAAATTTTTCCCCAGAGCAGTAGAGTGTGAAGATCCTAGTTTCTGATTCAGACTTAAATGCATGTCAGTCTAAATAAAATAACCTTGTTCTAATTTAACTGGAGTATTGTGCCCAATGTTATTGCAAAGTTAGTGTCAATCACAGGATGCCTGTCTTTTCCCAGGCAGTGTCCAACTGTCATTCATTTTGATAACTGTCACACAGCAAACCAGGTCATGTGGAAATCTGTAATCACAGACTGGCTTCTGCATCAGCCTGCCTGGATGGGTGATGGTTCTGCCTCAGCTGGAAGCTGATCTCCCACACCCTGTGTCTCACTACCCACTTATGCCAAACTGGGAACCCATTCCCCGCTCGGCTCCACCAGTAAGGGGTGCACCTGAATGGCGTCCTCTGCCTGAGCACAGTCATTTCTGACACAGACCTTTACCTTTAAGGAGTCTTTTGAAGATGATGATACCCAGCCCATTCCCCACAGTTTCCAAATTTCAATTACATGGCAAATAAAAGACTAGTTGCTTGCACAAAAAAGGAAAACTTACTTGTTAAATAACAGTCCAGACTAAGGGAGACATTGTCAAAAGCAATAATGGCATCAGAACCTTCTTCCCATGATGCGGTGATCTGAAACCAAAACCTGCACAAATTAGAAAAAATGGGATTAAATTCTGCTAAAGAACATGAAATTGAGAGCTCTTCACAATTAAAACAGTTTTTGAATGGTGGAGAAAAACTTCGCACATATAAAAATATTAACTCGATAGAGAAAGTATCATCACTCCTAACAAGGAAAGATGATCTGAGGAGGGGAGAGAGGAGATATACAGTAATATAGGTGGACAGAATAAGAGAATATTGCCCCTCTTCCCTCCAAACAAATAGCCTGAAGGAAGCAGAAGAGTGCATGTGTGTTGTCATAAAACAAAGTCCCCTTGATTCTGGCACAAAAATACCCCCAACCAAACAAATAGACCCCTAAGTGATTTTATTTTCCCAAGCCATTTACACCCTAAAGCGTTAAGAAAAATAAGTAGACAGGGCTCCTGAATTTGGAGCTCCTAAAAGGAGCTAGCAATCAAAGGCTGGAACCATTTTAGAAAGTATTTGGTGTTGATGCACTCTGTAGGAAGCAAAGGATATCTAACAGCCCTGGCAGTCACAAAATAGAGGAACTGACACTGGGTAGTCCACAGGAAGAGCAGAACTTATTATCTCCTTATAGAAACTGAGGAGGTTTGCCTTAAATCACTTCCTGATTTAAGGAAAGCTGTCTTTTGCCAGGAAGTTATGCCACTCCTACCTTTCCAGAAGAAAGATCCCTATAAATTCACCCTCAGTGATATTAAAAGTCAACAGGAAGAGCAAAAATTACCCACAATGAAATACTTCAAATCTGACAGTATATTGACCATGTGTTAATTTTGTGTACTCATGGATTTAGGTTTCCTCTTAGCTTAGCAAGATCATGTTCTCTCAATGCATATCTGCCACATAAAATCATAATACTCTGCTTAGGAAAGAGAACAATTTCTGAAAGCAGCCAACCATAGCTCAGCAGTCAGATACAATGCTCAGAGGTTGCATCAAGACTATAAAAACATGAAACTATCACATGATGTAGAACAAGCTGCAAGTGAATACAAAATATTATTTAAACCTAATTCTCTGTTGTAGCTTGATGTTTTATGCCAGCAGAAGTTAAACCATTTGTGGGTCTCTTTAATGTAGATCTATTGCTGGTGCTTCCTGCTCTTTTAGAGATAAATGTTCAGACAGAATGTGGATTCTTGCAGGTGTTTCAGTTTAGACAAGAAAATTATGACAGAACAAGTTATTTTTGAGGAGCAGCACTATTTATTTCGAAAGGCTTTAGAAATGCTGTCTCTTCCTTACAGCAAGGATCTAAACACCTGCAGAATTTTTTTCTTCTCACAGACTCTAGTCCTTCCTGCATGTCACTGGGTGTAAAATATTTTTTCTCAGCTTTGTGTATGTTAGCATTCTTACATTAGTCTTGGTGATTCCTATTGCTTTTAAATACTACCTCTCCTTTACCAGCAGGCCAACCTCAAAACCAAAATTTCAGTGAAGTTGCCATAGTCATGTTCATATTTGCTGTGGGACAGCATATTCCTGTGTTTTCAATGTAGATTTTGACTGAGCCCCCTGACTCTGTCAACAAATGTAACCAACTTCCACGTTGATCTCAAGCACACGGCAGCTTTCTAGAGGGGACAGTGAGGTCTGACAAAAGCTAAAACAGGCCCCAGAGATATGTGTGACCTTGAGGATATGTAGATTGGAGTGTCATGGTCTTCTACAACTGGTGTTCTTGCTAAGCTACAGGTGAGGACAGCGTCAGAAAAGCTGACACAACCAAAGCAAAAACCTCATAACAGAAATAAACTCCTGTCAGCCTCCCAAAGGTGCAAAGGGTTTATAACAGACCACAACCCATTCACTACAGAAAAGATTTATATAGTTACTATGTTCCTCCTCCTCCTTTATTTCTGGTAAAAAAAGCAACCATGTTCCGACACTGAAATTTCTCATTCCTTGGAGATATGCATTGTACATATGGAGATTTCTTCAAAACGGACTTTTATGTTCTAAAGACACGAGCAGCTGCCGTGAAAGAGCAGGTGACTGACACAAATAATAGTGGATATGGTGAAGAAAGAGCATCCCTAGCATCAAAGGAAACTCCAAATTGCAAGACACAATTTTCCTTGCTAAATGATCCACCTTTATCACCTCAAAAGGTGGCAGCACCAACCATACAAGCCTGAATATCACAAAAGCATATTTTTATCCTTCCCAAATCCATAAAAAGGGCAACTTCAGTCTGATGCTGACAGCAGTCTCACAGTTCTTAGCTGGGATACCTGAAAGCCCTTGTGGATATGTCCAGGAAGAGAACACAAGGGAACATAAAATCCTTGGATATTAAACTGGCTTCTGACTGAATTTTGCCCTCCCCCTGCCTCCCTCCTTCATTTGCTCTACAGCTGATATCCCACAACATTTCAAGCGCAATTACAAGCTCTAGCATAAACATAAGCTGTTCAGTTTGAGACATGCCATACAAGACTTAAACAAAAGCTGTTGGACAGACACAGTGGGCTCTGATCTTTCTCCTGCAAGTCACAGTGCCAGCAGCAGAGATGACTGAACTGTGGTCCTAAAGCACCAGAGGTCACATTCTGCTGTATAATGGAGAACCAGCACCTACCTCAGGCTGTAAAATACTGACTCAGCAGAAGCTTCTCCTTCCCTGTTGTGGGCTGCTGAAATGCCCAGGAAGAGGTAGGGGTGGAACCTTAGCAAATCAGTGCACTGCACACAGTGACCACTGGTGATGCATGGAAGGGACCAGGTCTGGTGCATTTGAGCCTCAGTCTATTTCCTCAGGATGCACACTAAACACCACTTGGAAACAGGGACTCTTTGATGTCAATTTATGTTTGTAAGGTGTTAAACTGAGGCTGCAAAATTAATTGCAAAGACAAATAAGCAATTCCACTCTGTCAGCTTTTCCCTCCAGTACTGCAGACTTTATCTCAGGCAGCATAAGAGACAGATACTTTTGCAAGGACTACAATGCACCTTCTTTCTGCCTCTAGGCAATGAAGCACTTCTAAAAATATCTTCAGGCAATTTCCTTGGCAGAACCTAAGGTTCATGCCCCAAGGTGTTATGCTTTGATGCACTTTTCATGTCGTGCCTCTTCAGTCAATAAAGGGTTGTTCTTAGGAGAATTATCAAATGTTCAGCTCCTAGGACCTTGAAGGCATGATACAAACCAGTATTTCTGTTGTTGAAGGGAGTGCTGTGTAACGTGCCCATATCAGAACACAATAGGTTGCTTTTTATTTATAGTTCACTCAAGTTAAGAGACAGCCTTGCTGATTTCACTTGCTGGACCACTGGGACCACAACTCTTGAGAAATTTTCACAAGTTCACCAGGGATGAAAAGAAATTACAGAAATGCCTCCAAAATACGAAAATTCTGTGAATGATAAACAGTATTAGGACCATCAGTGCTGCTTTGGTTGCCTATTAATCTTATTTTTTGCTAACATGAAAGCAGTTTCAGTACAAACCTTCTCTTGAGACCTGCATTTCTGCAACAAATAGTTCATCATTTTATCTGCTCTAGTTTAATGCCACTATTAATTTAGAAATATGATGTCTTTCAAATTCCATTGAAACAAGATCATCAGTTAACCAACATTTCAATCATTAGCTTTGGTGGCTTTAGCTTAATGGGCTAATTAAGGAAAATTTAATCAAAACTCAAGATGGAAATGTCACACATCAGTGAGATGGAAAAAACTCCACAGACAAACTCATTCCCTTGTTCCCTCTTTTTTTTTTTTTCCTTTCTGTTTGATCCCTGAAATCAATGAAATAATGAAATAACTCCCTCTGACTTTGGTGGGAGCTGATAATGAAGCAGCAATGTTACTGCAGTGACTCAGAACAATGCTGGAGGTGACAATGTCTCATGGGTGTTTGTGCACAGATCAAAGAGGAGTGATGCTGACTGCACACCCACTATCTCCACTGGCCCCAGCACAGATACTGGTCCACAGCCATGCACACACACCCACTGCAAACACTGATGCTGCAGTGAATGGTTAGGAAAGAATATTCCTGAAGGCAATTTTACAGGAGCAGCCAAATTACTGCTGGCAAGTTTGTCACGACTTTGTTGCTTAATAAATCCCAGCAGCTTCTTCACATGGAAGCCAGATCCTCATCAGATAAATGTGTGTTTGTAAGCTAGATTTCTTCATAGGAATGAAGGTATGGCAGCCATGAAACACTTTAATGACTTGGATATTAGAAAATTATGACTTGAGGACTGGTGGAAATTACTTCTTAACTGCATCCTTTTGCCCTACTCAACCTGGAATGCAGCTAGAAAGAGGATTCCTTAGATGTATGACAATTGGGAAGTACAAGTTACATCCTGTAGAGCTGAGTGTTAGCTGAGCTGCAAAAGCAAACATACAAAGGCCTTTAAAAAAGAAATTCTGTTTGAGGCAAATAGGAAATGCTGTACCAGGGGGACACCCTCCCCTCCTTGTTTCAATCTCCTCTCTGGGGAACATCAGCTCCTCTGTTTGAAGGATACAAATTTTACATAAATTCAAAAACTGCTCAAGGGTGACCACTGCTCAAATATTTCAGTCACAAATAAGAAACGGTACAAAATGAAATTCTTTTGGTTTGTACCTTTGGCCCCATGTGTGAAATATCAATCCAGATGTGCAGTTCTTTGAAAGCGTATTTTTACTCAGTTAAATCTGACCAAAACAGGACATCAAAGCTTCTAGTCTGTAACCTTCCCATTCCTCATGTGTTTTGAATCTTGGGTTTTATTTCAGTGTGGTCAGTGTTTGAGTTTGAGTTTAACTCAGTTTGTCTCATCACCCTGTGTTTTCTGTTCAGCTCCTTCTTTTTGATTACTTTTTTTTTCTTGATTCTCACAGAAGGCTGGTTCTCCCCCAAAATATTTGGGGCTTGTTAGAGAGGGAAATGCAGAACTAAAAGTGTGAAAATATATTTATAGTTATGTTGGTATAGCCTCCATGAGGACAAACTCTTTTGCTCACATCACCTATCCCTAG